TCATGTCACTTTTACCTGCTGTTGTAAAGTTTTTTTTGAATTTAGGGTAGGTACCAGACATCACTAACAATAAGTAGGGTATCCAGACTAAACGACGCCTGCTCTTTTTTGGTCTTTTCATTGTTTGCTGGCACTTGGATTTTCCACTTTGAAAAATTGATTCAGTGAAATTTTTTCAAGCTGTCGCACTCAAAGCCCAAGGTTTTTTTTTCAGAATAGACTTATATAGTTGATGGAAAATTTTGAGCTGATCTAGGTGATTTTGGGTAACCAGAACGTAGCAGAAAGCTTCCACAAGCTGACTAATGGCTTTTTGTCTAAATTGTTAAAATGGAACGTTTTCAAGAATAAAGGAAAATTACAATACCACCCACATAATCTCCAAAATTTCCGTGAATGTCGCGAAATCCCGAAAATTCCGCGAAATTCCCGGAATTTTGGAGATTATGTGGGTGGTATTGTAGGTGTTTGAATTCTATGACTTTATTGGCACTTTTTAAAACATGTTGTGTGTGACCGTTGCGAAAAGCAAGTGGACACAGAATCATAGGTGCGATAGGGGGAGCCGGGATCTCCCCAGGTGAAGGGGGTCTCGGCTGTTCCCGACCTTCCAGGGTGAAGGGGGTATGTGAGTCTGGGGGGGGGGGAGAGAGAAAAGGTAAGAAAGCGTGGTATGAAAAGCTCTAATTTGTACCTTATTTAGGCACAAATTGAAAAAAAATTTAAAATTTTTCAAAAGAAATTTAAAAATTTAAAAAAATTCATTATGAAGATCTGTGCTCCTGTTTCACTGCATCAACAAAAAAAGCAATAAGGTTTATCCCAAAAGATGTAGAAGTTAGGAACAACTTCATTTCCTGCGCATCATCATCAACAATATCACTATCGCTAACGTCAGAGACAACAAATTCGGTGCCTGAAAAATCTTCTTCTTCCTCCAAAAGGTCATCGGAGTGGAAGTAGAATTGCGTGCAAAGCGTTCTAAGTCAAAAATGGATTTGAAACTTTCTTCTTCTTCTGAGCACTTTTGTGATTTTTTTCCTGGCCCTCTGGTAGCATCAGGAAGTCAGCAGGTAGGTGACCAGTTTCTTCATACCATCTTTTAGGATATTTCAAAAAATCATACGGTAACAGCCTGTCTGGACCACTTATACCAATCCTTTGAATGAAGTTTTTAGATAACAATGTGTTTAGTAGAAGGTGACAAATCTTAAGTATTTGCTTAGATGCTCTATCGTTGTACGACTTCTGCGTTGTGTTCTGATAACAGAGTAGATAGAAAATTTCTTTCTTCACCTCTGACGTGCTAGTCGGAATGGAAACTAGCTTTGCTAGTAAGTCCATCAGATTTTTGCGGTAAGTAATGGGAAAAGAGCCAGATCGCATATGCTTTCGCAACACGAGAAGAAAATAGTGCATACTTTTTTGGGCCTTTTCGAACTCTGGCTTCACCTCCTCTGGCATACTTCCTGTTAACTGACGAGAAAGCTGCTCAACTTCTTCTTCAACAGCATCTGCGGAATAGCCGAAAAAAAGTAGATACTATGCTGCGCGTTGGTTTTTTTTTCAATATCATAGGTCATAATGTCACAAGGCGAATAACTTCCAAAAGCATAAAGCACAGAGTTGGGTTCGCACTCCAGCCGGGGATCTAAGTGCAGTAACTATGCTTTGTACTAACACCTTCCTTTTGTTCATATCCATGTTTGTGAATTTAGCAGCCTTGAATTCTTCAGCAACCTGAAGACCGGCAATGGACTTCCTGGACATTTCCTCATTGAAACTAAACAAGAAATCAGAGAGTTTCGCTCAATTGTCAACTCTGTGTCAATGTCGACAACATTTTCGTTGGCGTAAGATTCTCCTTCTGTCTCGCTATTGAACTGGAACTCATCTGCGATTTTGTAAAGCATTCTGCCTGCCGTTTCCTCTTCAAACTGCCAACCTTTCCAAAACATTGAGGAATAATTTAATAACATGTTATTCTTCTGAATGTCTTAAAATTTTGATTCATTGAACTCAACCACGTTCTCTACAAATTAGGTAAGGTGAGTCTAGAGCGTTTTCATGAAAGTGACCTTCTTCAGCACTAGTTTACAGAGTATAGATTCCAGAAATGGGCGGGTTTTGTGTGAAGGTGTGGAAATTTACCAATCTCCCATAGTTTTTTGAGTGTGCGCTAATAATGATGGCATAACTGTCAATCAAAAGCGCATTTTTAACCAAAAAAACATAAACATATAACAACGATAAGGACGCTCAAATAGACGCGTTCGCTCACGTTCCCGTTAGTGCTGATAACGATGTCAATCCACAGCACATTTTTTACTATTAACTTGCTCCACCTCGCTCTTATTAGGTCGTCCAGAAAGTTTTTGCGCATGAATTTCAAAATTCATAACTTCTGATTTTTCGAACCGATTTGACTGCTTTCACTTTTATGTGAAAGGGTAAGTCATGCTCTTTATAATGACTTCTCAGCTGCTTAGTAACGGTCATCTGTTGCATAGATAGGAGCGATAGAAGAAAAATGGTAAAAATTTTAATTTTCTGTGTAGGGTCATAAAAAGGAGACTTGCAACAAAAATCGGAGCATTCAGTACTGTAGGATCTTTCACCAGCTCTTTCTAACAGTGCAAAGTTTGCGCCGATTGAGCGTCTCCATGAAAAGTTATGATTTTCCTGAAAAATGCCAAAATAAATCGAATTCGCCTTTTTGTATTGCTTGCTCGGAAATCATAACTTTTCATGGAGACGCTCAATCGGAGCAAACTTTGCACTGTTAGAAAGAGCTGGTGAAAGAACCTACAATACCGACTGCTCCGATTTTTGTTGCAAGTTTCTGATTTTTTATGACCCTACACAAAAATTCAAATTTTGAGTGATTTTGGTTTTGAGCTTCTATCTATGTAATAGATGAGCATTACTAAGCAACTGAGATGTCGTTATAAAGAGCATGACTTACCCTTTCAAATAAAAATGAAAGCAGTCAAATCGGTCGGAAAAATCAAAAGTTATGAATTTTTGAAAATCGTCCGCAAAAACTTCCGGGACGATCTATACAATGTATTGGCTTTTACGGGTCACCGAAGTAAATGATTTTTAGAGCCGGGAAGCAAAGAAGCTTTAACATGCTGTATACCATTCGAAAGCTGAGATCATGGAGAATCGACGTAGACCGTCGACTCTTTTCTAGGTCTTCTGTGTCGCGAGATATGAGGGATTTTATGTGCTTCAAAAATTAAGTGATTTTGTGCCCTCACTTTCTGCTCTCCAAATGAATGCTACGAGAAAGTCGACGGTCTACGTTTGTTAATGAAGACTTGCTCTTTAACATAGATAGATAACCAGCAGTGATTAGGTCTTCATTTGGCAGAAATCTGCTGTTGAAAATGACCATGTTTTCAGATAAAATGCGGTGTATCTCTCGGTAGAGGGGGGCTAGAAAGAAGTCGACGGTCTAGATTGAATCCACTTTTCCTGAGCTTTCGAATGGTATATAAGTAGCTGGGCGAAAAAACAGACCAGTTTTCAAAAATGGGGTGGAGATATTTACTATTAGCTTGCTCCAATCCGGCTCCACCAATGTATTGGCTTTTATCGGTTACCGGAGCAAATGATTTTTAGAGCCGGGAAGCAAAGAAGCTTTAACATGCTGTATACCATTCGAAAGCTGAGATCATGGAGAATCGACGTAGACCGTCGACTCTTTTCTAGGTCTTCTGTGTCGCGAGATATGAGGGATTTTATGTGCTTCAAAAATTAACTGATTTTGTGCCCTCACTTTTTGCTCTCCAAATGAACGCTACGAGAAAGTCGACGGTCTACGTTTGTTAATGAAGACTTGCTCTTTAACATAGATAGATAACCAGCAGTGATTAGGTTTTCATTTGGCAGAAATCTGCTGTTGAAAATGACCATGTTTTCAGATAAAATGCGGTGTATCTCTCGGTAGAGGGGGGCTAGAAAGAAGTCGACGGTCTAGATTGAATCCACTTTTCCTGAGCTTTCGAATGGTATATAGGTTGCTGGGCGAAAAAACAGACCAGTTTTCAAAAATGGGGTGGAGATATTTACTATTAGCTTGCTCCAATCCGGCTCCACCAATGTATTGGCTTTTATCGGTTACCGGAGCAAATGATTTTTAGAGCCGGGAAGCAAAGAAGCTTTAACATGCTGTATACCATTCGAAAGCTGAGATCATGGAGAATCGACGTAGACCGTCGACTCTTTTCTAGGTCTTCTGTGTCGCGAGATATGAGGGATTTTATGTGCTTCAAAAATTAACTGATTTTGTGCCCTCACTTTCTGCTCTCCAAATGAATGCTACGAGGATAAATAAATAATATAAATAAATATAAATACCGTTACTTTAGTAAATTTATGAGTGTGCTTGTTGTTTGAGGTACTTAGCCTGCAAAACCTTTTAATAAAGATTTTTATCATATTCTCAGAGTACAATACCAATCTCAGCCCAGGTGAAGGGGGTCATCGGGAGTTTGGCCTCAAAGTGAAGGGGGTAAGATCCATTACTCCCCCTATCGCAACTATGCACAGAATCCTACTTTGTGTACTTTTGTGAAACCTTTGCTCATGAATGTCTACAGAAAACTATGCGAAATTGCTAGCGGTCATTACTGCGATGTCATGTGCACGACTATCAACGACAGACCGAAATCAGGGAAAAAATGACACAACCTCTCTTTCCCCTTGAACAAAATTTTTCCATACAAACAGAAAATAATTTTGTTCAATTTGTGCGCCTTCAAAAACAGCGACTTCAATAACGATGCCGATCTAAGCGAAGCTGTAGGATGCACAACATTACGTGTATTTTTCTCAAAAGGCTCTAATGAGCATTACGGTTGTCTATCATTATTTGGATCATCATATAATACTGTGCCTAGCGACCAGTACCACTTTTTCAACTTTATTGCTACACTAGTCTAGCACGAAGAGTATCGTCGTCTCCAGCACAAGGCTCTGTTCCATATCTCTCATTAACGACACGGTGCAGAAGCGTTTTTCGAGTTAGTAGTTATACTCTGATTAATACTTGTTGTGATTGCAGTGAAATGCGTGGTTGAGGGTATACTTACTGTTTTTGTTCTCGGTCCATTTTTGAATGGGTTAAGAGTACGCCGCAAAGATGCCACAATCCAGAATGTTATTACTATATCAGTAAATGGAACCCACAAAAAGGATGTGAAGTAGAACACTCGCATCAATGGATGATTCTAAAATAGAGAGCAAATATCTGCCTGTTGACTTTCCACCTTAAATAAAAGAGTGATTGCTAGTTAGGGGTAAACAGCATTACCTTACATGTTTTTCAAAACAATTAAGTTAAAACGCACACTTCCTACTCCGAGTCTCTCGGATGTCATGGATATTATAGAAGCTGATAGTGCTGACAGAAGACTTCCTCCGTGAATCAGAATGCGCATTTCGTTGCGATTTCTACAACAGCTCAATGTAGTGGGCAATATGCTCGTAACTTTCAAAAAAAAAGGTACACTGTTGTAGAGCTGCACTTTCTTATTGAGTTCTTCTTGAAGATAAGGGAAAAACAATTTCTGAGTAATGATAGCATTTGATCTAAATACCGCAAAATTCTCAAAGATCTGACTAAATCATTACAAAAAGCACAACGTCTACATGTCTTCCCGATCACTTCGGTGTACCAGATTAATACAGTTACCAAAAGATTTGTAATTCAAATAAAATCCACTTTTCCTTTCTTTCAGAGTCTGTAGAATCATGCGTGATAAATCTTCAGCTATCCATGCATGATATGCCATCTTTGGCAAATGAGTGATGCACAAAAGATCAAGTTTTATTCATTTAAATTACTGGCTGCATCAAAGGAACGGAATGCGTTGGAACAACTGTCACGTTTAGCGTTGCAGTTCCACTTTTTATCAGCTAAATTCCGAAAAAAATTTTAACAGGTTGACGACGAGCCAATTTTTTAAGTCTGCCCCTGGTACGAAATGTTTGCGCACTTTTACGCCTGGCTGTATGTATATATAAACGCATTTATGAAATCTACGAATTCGCGCATATACCGGCACTTTTAAAAGTGGGCGGAGCTTGTCACTAAAAAGCGGAGCCTGTATGATCAAGGCTGCTCGAGGCTCCAGAGTTATTTGTGACCCGTTCTGTCCGTTTTGTGCACAAAAACGTTCCTTGCACAAGGCAAATGGAGTGGGCGGAATTTGCCAAAAGGGGGTGAGGTCAACATAAAAAACTCTTGAGCAGGGACGAGCGTGGGGTGTGCCATGCTACACCTGGGGGGGGTCGTATTAAGGAATTAGGGAGGGGAGTCGTTATCAAGGCGTCCGCTGTCCGCACATAACATAATATTCGTTAACAATGTCAAATAGGCCCATCATGCAAAATACTAGCACATTGATGTTTGACCCATTGACCCATTACCCATCAAGCATAATTAAAGATCTATAAAGCATGAGAGCATCGCTTTGTAATTTGCAAGTAAAATAACCCCTGTGGTCCAAGTTTCATCGACTCATGAGCTTCTAAATACAGGACCACCTAGTGAGATGGTCGCTTTCGAACATGTTACTTTGTTACAAAGGTAACTTAACTGCTTCTTTTTGCGCTTAATACAAAAAACTACTATTTTTTGCTCAAATTAGGAATCCTACTTCAAATGACATCCAAATTAAGGAAATTAAGAGCAAATTAAGAGCAAGCCAAAATCTCGTTTGTTCCATTTTTCGCTTTCATTATCTCAGGCTCGAGAAGACCAATCAGGGTCAAATCACTTTAATGTAGATTACGAGGCTTAGGCTATCAAATATGTACATTCTTGTTGCCTCTTCTTGCGATTCACGTAGTAGCGCAGACTTAGCATGCTACCGTATCCCAGTACTATCCTGGTATTTTACATTTGCATAGGTAAGTAAAAACGATTATATCTTGCTCTTGAAAAAACTTTTTCGTATGAAATTTCTGCTATGTGAAGGAGAAGGTTAAGCAATAACAACGATTTAAAGCTGTAGCAGCCACAGCTTTTTAGGGGTGGCGCCACACCCCATTAACTATATCAAAAAAACATTTTTAGCAAACGTAATTTTTGTGAATCCATAGCCTAAACCTCGTAGATTTCATAGGAGTGATCTGAGCCTGATTCGTCTGCTTAGCTCTGAGTAATATTCGGTAAAAGCACAGCTATTAAAAGAAAAATTTGGTTGGCTTCTAATTCCAAAGTTAGGAGGTCTTTTGAAGCGAAATCTCTGGAGTGACCAAAGAAGGGGTAGTGCTTTGTCTTTAGTGCCAAAACAGCTAGCTACTTCACCTTTGAAATAAAGTTATTTATGCTGGAAAATGACCATTTCACTTAGGTAACCCAGTATCTTGAATCTTCAGAATTCGCTCAAACATTGTCTACAGGGGTTGATTGACATGCTAGTTATGGGTATGTTGCCCGTTATGTTTGACAGCGCCTTCAACTAATGCTATCTTGAGTGTGTAGTTCAGGGGGAGTCTTATTAAGAAAGCAATCAGGGGGGGGGGTCGTAACCAGCGATCGTGTGCCATACCTCTTGCTTGACCCTGCTCTTGAGCCTAAATTGATTATTTGGACACAAATAAGAACTGTTAGGCACATAAAAAATAAAATTTAGTGTGCCGCGCACCATTGCGAAGCGCCGTCCACAGGAACAGACTGCCCGCCGACCACCGCGCGACAATCTGCCAACGTCTTAATCAACATGTGCAATCAGTTCTTAGCACTTAAACTTCTTGTACCGAAACTTGTTAGCACTACAAAGCTAGTGTAAGCTTTTTGAAAAGAGATCGTTAAGCAAATCTCGAACTTTGCAATGCTCACAAGGAAAGCATGTTCAGTCGAAGTGGCGTTTCTAAATGAGACTCATACCACTTTGAAGAGCATTGCACGGTGGCTCCAAATCTGCCAAGCGCCTCTGGAAGCCGAGTGGACCGTTTTTTGGAACGAAAAATGAATGCAGAATTTAGGTAAAAACAATAGATACAAACTTTCCAACGCTTAGACAAAGCAATGTTGAGTATTAGCGTATTAGACAAAATGTATCCATTGCATGAACTGGTCTGATACTCGACACAGGACCATTTGAGCAAATTTGGGCAAACTTGCTCCGGTTTTGTGTTTAATTTATTGACCCGAAAAACGCCCATAGCTCGGTGTCCAGAGATAATGAAGGCAGATTTGGAATCATTGTGCAATGCTCTTCAAAGCAGTATGGGTCCTTCCTGAAAAGGCCACTTCGACTATACACGCTTCCCTTGTCAGATTTGCATGGTTATGATTGTGAAATTACTGGAATTTTATCCAACTATCAGCATGAATTTTGTTAGCACACTTCTTTGAAGATAGTCTCAAAAACAGATTTTATTAGTAGGCGTTGGATTCTACTTGCTATGCTACTAGAGCAGCCTTTTTGACAGAATTACAACACTGCAGATTTGACGATAAGGATAAAAGGGCAGGTTATGGGTTAGAACACATGGCTGCGCTGATTGGCAATAAAAAGCTGAATATATTGTTACAGTACGCCTTTACCCACATTTACTTCAGTAAATTGTGCCTTTTTTTGCCCTCCAACTATTTTCATTTTAAAAAAAGAAAACGAAAAAGAGTGTTAAAATAAGCAGCACAACCGCGTGCTAAGAGGCACTGTTTCCTCTGTTGTTTGAGGATTGATCAAAAAACTAAAAGACAAAAAATAAGTAAATAAACTCGTGTCTTTTTTGTAACATCGCAATCTTGATTAGGCCGAATTCCGAAAACAAAAACAAACAAACATAAACGCACGCCTTCTTTCGCATCAGACAGAACATAGAAACATAACCGAGAGTCGAAAGTACAAGTGCCACATAGCGGTAGGTGTAGCCGGAGATAGAGATAACCTAAAATACTTACTCTTGTTCTTTTTTTTTGATTTTATGGCAGTACCAACCTTTACACAGGTTGGATTCAAAGCACTTAGAAGCAGTGGCCTTTCGCCTTTCCACACGTATGCATTATCACAAATGCAATAAATAGGTATTGCCGTCACTGTAGGAAATAATGTTTGTAGTATAAATATTTTCCATGTATTCATTTGCTCAGCAGTCTACAACTGATACTGATACGTTACCCGATGAATGCAAGCAATTATTTAAGTTCTCAATCATGTGATATGAGGTTTATGCAAAACTTTGAACCCTTGATGTATGTTATAGGTCATTCGAAAGGTTTTTTGATTTTTGTGTCCTTGACGTTGCCAAATGGTGGGAGACTGTCAAAAGGCTGATAGAAGTTGCCGTGTATAGAGTTCCAAAAAAAGTTTTTTATTTTTGAGACTGCCACCAGTGCAAAAATCACTTTACAAGGAAGCTTACATGGCTATAAAGTCGACGTAAAAACTCGAGTCGTACACATTTGCATTCTTGAAGCTCAAATTTAGACGTAAGGTACTTGAAAGAGCAACCATTGTGCGCAGTGATCCTTCTTAAAGTGCAATTTCCTTATGGAAAATTGGGTTGAAACCCCCTACCCCAGATTTGGTGAGATGAGGGCTAAAGTTTTGCATTATCCTGGAAGGAACTTTTAAGCATAGACGAGCAGCTTAGAGTGACTTCTGAAACAGATCGCAATTGTAGATATAGCCTTATTAGAAACCAAAACTTTGCAAAAGTTGCAGTGCAGAAAACTTGTAAGGTACTAGCAGTACTAGTAGTTAAGAGTTGCAGAAAACTCCAAATGAACAGAAAAGACGAGTGCATCGCGACACCACCGAGCTCGCACCTTATTATTCCCTCGTGGTTTTGCATAAGGTCAAGTCATGTTGGCGTATAAAAGTGAGGTTGAGGCACAGTTTGGCATAAGCTGATCTGTTTTCAATTACCGCTTGTGCTACGTCTGAGGTGAGTAAGAAGTGTTTTTGGCTTTGATTCTGCTGTCTAAACAAATCTTTTTCACGAATTTGTTCCGTCTTTGTTCTTGACGTCTGACCGCGTAGTCACTTATGACTTCGACTTCCCAGGCTCCGAAAAAGGCGTTGCACGCCGAAACGTTGACGGTCAATAAAGTATTGTTGCCAATCATGGTAGTAGCTCGAGAACCACATCTTCAAGTGAAACTTTAAGATGCTTAGTATCCAACAAGTTTTTTGTACATATTTTATAGAACAATCCTTTTGGCTCGAGCTGATGCCATGAGCAAAAACAAATTAATATTATACAAAGCGACTTTATTATGAGTCATTTGGGACGAGCATTTGAAGCATGGCTTGACATTGATGAAATTGGAAACTGAATAAATTTGCACATACAGTTATGAGAGGTATTTCCTCGCTCACAATAATGCCAGACCTTATGTAAGGAAGGTGGCTCTCAGAAAAGTGTTGAATGCGCACCGAGGTTCCGAAGTCAAAAACGCCTTAAACTTTGTGGATTCATCCAAAATCACTTCATAAGTAAAAAGCACAGAAATACTATTGTTGCATTGTCAGAGACAAAGTCATAGAAAAATGCTGAATTTAGAAGAAGTTGTGTTCGCCTTGATTTGAGATGCGAAAATGATCGCATGATCTAATCGCTGGGAAATTATGAGAGGTGTTCAACAGACGTGACCGGATATCATACAATGGGGCCGACATGTGACAGAGTGCGAGGTACCGATAAAACCAAATATGGTAAGTCTTGATTTAAAAAGAGACAAGCGAATGTTTATAGCTTTCGTTCATCATGCTATGAACGCTTAGAAAAAATATAACATAGTTATACTTGACAGTTTTAGTCATGAATTAGATTTTTATAGGCGCGAAAGCAGCAGCCAGCAGTCTTTCAACCCCTATTGCAACAAGAAACTGCTTGCATTTTTTCAGCGCTGCAGTACACTTTGAATTTTTCGCATTCAACTTGCTAGCGCGTTGTGATGCGAAGAAGCGAACAATGCAACAGAATAAGAAGTTTAGAACTTTTTTCAAGAACCGTAAACGCTGAAAGAATGAAGGATAGATGCATGAAAGTATTAATTGACGTTATTTTGCGACAGCAAAAGCAAATTAAGGCAGACACTTGGGCGTATTTTTTGAAAATCAAGTCAATATGCAAAAATTTTTGATGTTTGGTTTTGCAGTTTGATTTAAAGTAAATCTAACTGCAACATGCAAGCATAGATAGACACACAGGAAGACAGTGAGCATCGTTTGTACAGGGGGCGAAAAAATTACTGTCCCTCAAAGTAGAGGCAAAGAAATTGACGTAATTTCCAGGTTTTTCTGGTAAATAAATAGTAACATAACATAGTAACATAATTTAACATAGTAAATTAACATAGTCCTAAGATATGGGTGTATTCTAGCATCTTACAAAAACTGGTTCAAAAGTTCTGCAATTTCACTCGGCGGCGGATCCTTTTTCGCAGCACATCCCCTCCCAAATCTTGCGACTCCCTTCTACAAATGTGAAAGAAGTGTGAAGATTTTGCGAATTTCTTGTTTCCACCGTGGATATGAGAAATCTCCTATTGCTTGAGGAATGTTATAGCGTCTAAGAAATATGCTGGAAGTAGCCAGACCACAGCTGCAGTAGGAGAAAAGTTGGGAAATTTTCAAACGATATAGCGTCTGCGGCGCAACAGGGTGCGAGCAGAAAGCGCGGCACAGGAAAGTGCAATCGTTTGTCAACTCAAAATCGTAATGTAGACAAAGCCTGATGCTTTTTTCATTATTCCTGTTACTTTTTGTTTGAATCTGGAATTTCAAGCGATAGTTTGGATCCAATTCCTTGATCAAGAGCAGATCTGACTAGCTCTTTTCGTGAATTTTTGAAATTTGCTTGGAACATAATTTTCCTTGTTTAGTATTTTGGAGAGGAATTTATGCTTTACATACTGCCTGCTTTGAAATTGATATCACTTCTGGTGATATAGTTACGGTCCAAAATTGCGCTCAAACGCTGCGGCGCATCGTCGATGATGCTGCTCGCTGTTATTACTCGTTTAAATAAACAGAAAGAAATCGTTTCAAATCAAACCTATCTTTGTCGAATCTACAGTGCCTGGCCCACATGCAGGAATCAAAAAACTATAAATTTTCTCCATTTCTGAGTTTTTATAGGAGCCAAACTGAGGGACCGTACTTTTTCCGCGCCCTATATAGAAGATGATAACGAAGGCCGTCTAATATCAGACAAAGCGAGCAAATCCCAAGCTAAACACCAAATGTTGTCAAAGTTGCTGAGTATGCGATATGCAATTCCCTACAATGAGAAAGTAGCCACCATTTGAAAGAGAGTATGGTCTAAGATAGCCGTTCTGGCGCCATTCTCATAAGAACTTTGACAAAACTGCGAATTTTCATAATATTCTACTCAAAAGTACTAAAGAAGGTTTTTCTGATTTTTGGACGTCTAAATCCGGTAGCACCCGATATTTTTTATGAGCCCGGATACATAACTTCAAGCAAGAAACCGGAAATGAACAAACACACTGAGTTTTACAGCGTATCTAATGTAAATCTGCGATTTTGTGAAGATTAAATTCATACTACCCCTCTTTTTCGCAAATTTCGTCCAGAGCTATTACGAGTGTACAGCTCTAAGCGTCCCGGTGTTCCTGTAAACGCGCAATTTGGCACTGCAAAAAACGGGTGTATCTTATTTATATTTATTGCGATTTTTATTGCCAGATGAACGCTTTAGCGCACTTTTTGTATTTGATGATGTTTTACGAGAAAAGCAAATTCAAAGATGTGTATGATTCCCATGAAATGTTTGACATATTATTTTGGAATGGGTTCAAAACATAAGTGTTGGAGGTCAAAAAACTCGTAAAATGCCACCGTTGGCGTTTTCGTCACTATTTCAACTTAGTTTTCACCAAAAGCCGTCAAACTTATCAAGTAGTAGTCTCAGATAGTTAATTAGAATCCTTTGGTTGGTTTTATTGAAAGGCTGCAAAGCTCTTGACTAAGCTGTTAAGTTGGTGACCTTTGAAGAAGTCGCGCCTTGACCGTCTCTCAAAAAAAATTGCTCAAAATTAGCCGTAGACGATTTACAAGAATTACGTAGCATGAAAGTTGCATTGCTTGCAAAATTAGCGAAAGAGTGAGAGATGCGAATATGCATAACCTTAATCATCTCGCCATGATTTTTTACGCATTGGCTAGCTTACGAATTTGCATGGACGTTTATTTGACTCAAGCAAGCTCATAGGGTTTTTTTGCAGATTGCAGGAGTGGTGACCCACAAACGCTGATAGCTGGGGAGAAGGTTACCTACTTTGACTGATAATCACCTTGCAGCCGATTGTTGATGTATTAATCTAGATGATGCAGTGGCTCGGCAAAATCGAACATCTCGAAATTTTGAAAGAAGGTTGCTTGTACCCCAATGAGAACAGAGCAGGTCCGATCACACGGCATGCTGCCCCTGCTTATTAAACTGCCCCTAAAACCCGTACGCTCAAGCCATTCTTACACGCGCTCGGACAAGCTTGCGATTCCATTTCTCAGCGTCAGAGGCCACATCTCGCAATGCTCTAAATGTGAGGACATCGCAAAGACTCTACTAACAAATGCGGAAACTATTCCACTCGTCCAAATTCAAAATTGGGGGGGGGGGGGGGCGAGGAAAATGCTAATTTTCGCCATTCTCGCCCTTCTGGGAAACTTTCGGGATCAGCGCGTCGAATTACCCCAAGTAAGCGAAAAAATTAGGTCGAGAATCTGCCGTGCCACTGCATTTGAACACCCTTAACAGAAAAACTAACTGACAAGGTTTGGCGAGTTGGCAGCTAAATGTTCTAGAGGAAACCTGGCGGCCTACCACTCGACTACAAAAGAGCCTGGATGAGAGAAAACGAAGACATATTCTCTAGATACAAAGCATGAAAATTACGAAAAATTATGCGAGCAAATCCAGTTCGGCTGAGGCCTAGCTGGAGAGGTTAACATTAATCGGAACTGGCCGCTTTCGTTTTCAAGTTTTCATGCTTTTTTCGGAAAAAAAGTGGGAAATCAATAAATCGACGCCAACCAATAATTTTTGGTCGAGATTTCGCAATGCATATTGCCAACTAAACATAAATGTTTCAGAGTACAATTGCTCACCATTAGTTTAGAATTTACTTTGCATGACTTTGTGCAGGTTCAGTCTAGTTTTAGTAATTTTAGTCGTTAGCAAACGCATCACTATCATAAACCTCATCACATATGGTCACCTTCCAATGTTGCTAAATTTGCTCACGTGTGTTATTATCGAGTGTGGTAAACATATGGTGCAAAAGCGCCCTCCGACGGTCACAAGGACATTCCAAATTTGTAAAAACAATAAATGCTGCTTTGCAACCTGTGCAAAGTTTGTCCACCATTTGAAGCGATTGAGATAGAAGAACGTGGAATTAAAAACAGGGAAAAATCTGACGTACATAGTCGTCAGGAAAAATATAAGTGTGAATAAGTTAATCCAGCTCTGAAACAAATTTTTATCAATGATCAATCTCAAATGATTCATTGTCAGGCTATCTATAGATCTATAAAATTCGCTTGTAATCTTTCAACATCAATCAACGAGAATCAAAAGTAGGAAGAATTGATCTTCTCAATCTTCCACTGCCTTGCTAATTCTGTAATTCTCTCTTTTGCAATTTGAAGAAACCGTTAAAATTTTTGGAACATCAATTCGTGCATTTTATGCGAAATCCAAAGCAAACCATACAGAAATAATAAGCTTTTGTTTCTGGCTGCTATGTGAAGAGGTAAGGAATTGGAAAAAAATTGTCATAAAATGCGACACAGAGCATAGAGGTAGTAAGCGATTACGCAAGCGTACGGAAATGAAGGAGGGAGCAGAGGGGAGGGGCGTGGATGAGAGCTTCTCATCGTTGAAGGCAACGTCTAGGCACCTAGCTCCGGTACTGAACTGCAGATTTTATGAGGGTCATCACGAATGGGTGGGTTTCCCGCAAAGGTATTCACAGGGTATAAAATGAAGGGTCGGGTGCACTAGCATCTCCATTCCCATGCAGTTAGGATCAACAGATATATGGCGCAATCAACGATGATTTGCAGCATTTCGGTCTGTGCTAAAGTATACTCAAACCATTCTGAGTCACAACGTATGATCCATGTGCCCACTGCCTGGGCAAAGAAAACTTTTGTGTTGATTTATCCGCTGAACAATAAATGATCGCATAAAAAACACATGAAAGGGTACCTCATTCCAGCAACAACGGTAGTAAAAACTACTGAACATCCTCGATCCTCGACTTCTCCACATAGCTATAATCGCACCAACACATAGCAATGAACAAAAAAGTACAGTCAGGCCCAACAGATATAGGAAAGAATTAACGATAAGTTGCAGCGGCATCCCGACATGTGCTGAATGTATACTCGTAAACCATTCTGAGCTACAGCCAGCGACAACGTCATTGGAACAGGTACATGCCTATCAGTGTCTGAATCGCCTACGCTATAGTCAAAGAATAATTTTTGGATACACCATATAATGGCGAAAGCTATTTGAGTGCTTGTCGCAGTGTGAGTAGATGAGCAGGCATGGTTATATAAAATCTCCTGTATCAAGCAGTAGCATATTAGGAAATTTCCATGATCCCAGACAAAACGCGGGATCATTCGCTCAAAATCTATCATTCAAAGGACCCACAAAAATTCTACGCGCTCTATCCGTATAACTTTGTTATCGACAGCTAAGGCTCAAGTAGAAAAGAAGACGAAAAAGAATGAGATATAAGTGGAGAGCTAAGAGACAGTCTAATTCGAACTACCAAGTATTCTCACAATAGGGCATACGTAATTAGAGGCTACTAGAGAAAGTCGGAAAAAAATGTCAAGGTATTAGGGTGTTTCATAATTTTATACCGTTTTTACATCCAAACATCAGCATGTCTTGAGAACTGAGGGAAATACAAAGGTAAGATAACATAATCGTACTTCTGCATATAAGGGTGTCCCAAAAAAATGTACTCACTGTTTGATTGTAAAATTCCTTTTCAATGAAGTGTTCCGAGAAGCATTAGGAACCGTTTTGTACAGCGAGGTTGAACTTAGATTTATAGTATGGAGCGAATCATCGATCGCTCTTCATCACTGTAGGATTAGGGTAAGAACTTTCAGCATATAGAAACATTGTGAAATATACCACTTAATAAAATTTTTCCCAAAAAAATCTGAAAAATCGTGTACTGGGGTTTTCGCGCATGCTGATTCCACATAACAACTTTTTACGATGTCTTCAGCTTTTTTGACGATGTAATTGCATTTCTGACAAATGCCGGGAAATGAGTTACTACGATTTACCAGAGATAACTTAAGAAAGAAGCACCACAGTAAAATGGAAATTTCAAATTCAAAATCAGCGGCTCACATTACCGCAGTATAAGAGTTTTTTGCTTGTTTAACTTTGTTTTGAGGGAGAATATGAACTCTAATGGCCTAAAATTCTTGTAGAAAATCGTGCCGTAATCCTACAGCAATGAAGACCGGTAGATGATTCGCTTCCTACTAAGTATCTAATTGTAAGTTCAACCTCGCTCTACAAAATGGTATCTAAAACTTTTCGAAACACTTCATTACTAGAGAGTTATTTACAATCAAACAGTAGGTACATTTTTTTGTGACAACCTATATAAGCTATAGGATCATGTTGTGGGAAGTACTCAGGACATCCGGGGGCGGGCTTTGCCATTTTAGAATTATTTTTCTTTATTTTTAGCCATGGAAAAAATTTGGAAAATGTACAATCAAATGAACCATGTCTTAAGCATATGCTAGAACAAATGCGGAATTTTTTAGGTTTTTTGAGACCGAGATACGATTCTTGACGATAAAGTTCGTTCTTAACTACTGTCCGATTTCAGCGTCAAAGTTCACCTGGAATATGAGTTAGGCTTTTCATACATATCTTGTAGAGCTTGCCTTGCTCTGTTAAATAATCAGTGATCACTGAAATCTCTTTAATCAAAGGAGAGGTACAAAAAGACGATGGTTGTAGTAGAAACGGCGGTGAAAAATTATGAGACAACTCAATATAAACATACTGTGTTAGCAAAACAGAATGGCAAATGAACACGTCTACACTGTCAAGTCGATGAACCACCGTCGCCTGGTTGGCTCCAAGATGTCAGGCTGTTAGGGGGAGGAGCTTGCTTTTTGAGTCACCATAGGCGTGGCAAACATAAGGGGCCACCTGTGCACTTTGCTTACGTTGATTAAACCTTGTTCTATTAGGTTGATACATAATGAATGCATGTTAACGTATCCTTGAGCGGCAAAGGTATAACAATCAATCGTTCCAACATTTTCGTGGGGTTGTTATATGGAAAGTTAAAAAAAAGAATTTAATTTTCAAAAATCCAAGTCTGATCTTTGTTTAAAAGAATCCTACAACCTCCAACTTACGAAAATTATTTGTAGCGTTAGCTGTGCATGTGTACACTTATTGTATTTTTTCCATGGCTGGAAGTTGAGATAATAAAATCTGCATGTTTCAGCACAACCAATGCTGGATTTTCCCGACAATAAATCTCACCCTTCTTCCAGCTTTGGTTGTCAAAAAATATGAACTAGCATAAAATACCGAAAAGACGACATTTTCAATATTTTCAGTTTTCAACCAATTAGGACAAAAATACGGAAGATGTACATATGAAAATCTTATGTGCACACTACAGGGTGCGCCACAATTATTTGCACGTGTATCATTAAGCGCCATACGAACTAATACCGGCTTAGCCAGCGGTAAAGTTGATATTGTTTTCTTGGTTCTACAACATTGTATCCTAGTTGAAAGAAGTAAAATTGCCTGTTTTGCTTTTCGGCAAAAATTCGTAATATTTCTCTGACTTTGTCGCGTGCTGCACTCGGGTAGAGGCCCACAAACTTGCCCAGTATATATCTTTTTAATGATCGCTTCTCTCAGGTGAAGATTTCGTCATAAAATAGATCTAATCTTTGACTTTAAGATAAGTGAGGTTCGGAATCTTTAGGAGCATTCAAAACAGAAATTTTGACTATTCAATAACCTACGTCAGCTTGCGTTTTTTCTGTCACGAACATTGCTTTTTGCAATTCTTACTTCGCTCGCTAAATAAAGACCGATTTGGAATCTTGATAGTGCTTTTTGTAGAATGTGCTTACGGCATTCTGTGACATCAAATCCAGACCAAATTTCTGCCATTATTGTGGCATTACTTCGAATATTTTGGCGCAAATAATTTTGGTGCGCCCTGTATATTCTTTACTATGTAGGAGTTCGCGCTATATTGTTAGCGGAAGTAATATTTTTGGATTTTCATAATTTTTAAAGCTTTTACCCATAAATTTTACATTTCAAACTTTTTGCGATTACTTAAATACTGTTTTGTAGAGCGTTTTGTTCTATAGAACAACGTATTGCTGTTGAACCAGAAGTTCTTTCGCATCATTTCCGCAAAGTCGTAACTTCTTTCTCTGACAATAATCTTGCACGACAATAATATTATCAGGAAGAGCAAAGCGTGTGTTTTCTAAAGGCACTTGCCTGCTGTTTACTAAGCTTTGGTCGCAGAGTAAATCGGGGGAAGTAAATCAGTCTAATTTTGGAATTTTGGGGGCATGCCCGTTGAAAAATCCAAAACTGCGCCATAATAACCAAAACAGGTAGTAGCCTAGATTTAAACCCCTTTTATTAGCTGAGCAAACTTCGCGCTAATCGAGCTTTTTTGACATTTTTTTTTGAATTATTATTTCTTGAAGAACAGATCGATCAGCACGAATTTTGCTCAGCTAAAAAGAGGGGATAAAAAACCTAGGATGCTGCCTCTTTGGATTTGATGGCACAGCTTTGGATTTTTTAACGGGCTTGCTTCAATATTTTAAAGTGATTTCCTTTTCCCAATTTTATCTCTGCAACCAAAGCTTAACACATTGACGACCGCTTGACACACATGGTGTGTCAAGCAGTGACTACCGCGTGGGACCGCTTGACACACCATGTGTGTCAAGGCTTAAACTTTGTTAAAATGACTGCTATCCTGGAATAGATTCACCACACGAGCTTTCTTTTGCATTGAATCTAGGGATGGCCTCTACTTGCTGTCAGCTTTGCAGATCTACTGTTGATGTACTGCAGATCGCAGCATGCGTAATTACATTCAAAAAATGTGGGCTGCTCCGTATAAGGCTTTGGTCCCAGAGGGCACACAACCAAAAATTTGCAGGTCGTCAATGTGTTAATTAAAGCACGCAAGTGCTTTTAGAAAGCACGCGTTTGCTCTTATAATGTTATTTTTGTTGTGATATTATTGTAAGAGAAAGAGATTTTTTGAAAGTAGTGCGAACGAAATTTCGGTTCAACCTAATATTAGGTTGGTTCATAATTAATGCATTTTCCTACCCCTTCCTTCAAACGCTATTATACAAAGTACAACCTTTTCTAGACCTTTTGTGCCTGAAAGCCTGTTTCTTCTAGTTTCTAATGTATCCCTTCATTTTCGGATGTCTTATTTCAAACCAAAGTTCCACGCCTTTAAAGATGAAGGGTGAGAACTTGGGATTTTTGCCTTTCATTCTACGCGCTCTAAATCCTTGATAAATGCTCAGATTTGTTTTAAAAAATATGTGTTATAATCGCGAAGATTTCTGCTATGAAAAGCTTACCGTGATTAAGTTTTTGAAAAATCCTGTCGAGAATCTTTGGTTCAAACTTGTTTGATAGTTGAAACCATTTAAGCTTTATAAATTTAGGTGAAAAGCGACTACAAAACTTTCGCTTTGTGCAGGTGGGGTAAACCAGTGTTACTACTCAGATAAGCCGGGGGCAGGCGGCCTGCGAATTTTGAGCAAGCGGGCACCGGAAAAATACTTCGCGGATTTCATGCGGTCCGCTTGCAGAAATTTGAAAGAATGATGGCCAATTTTTGGAGGAATGCTCGGAGAAGCATCGTGGTTTTTCTATAGATTAATTGCGGCGCAGTGGCCGCATTCTCGCGGACTTTCCGCGGGAGTATGCAAAGTTTTTGAGGGCCGCACGGTCTTTTGTGGAGGACCGCGCAGCCCACAGGTACTTCCCGCTGAGAGAAAGTACCTCAAACTTGGGTAATTAAACCATCGATGACACCTCTGCCATATTCAGTCTACATACAGTCTACACCTTTGCTCGGCGTACGCTCGAAGCTTAAAAACCGTCTGAGCGCCAGCTGAAAATTTGACCGGCGCTCGATGAAAGAGATTATTTGACGAGCGCCTGCAGAAAATTCTGTGTTGCTGCCCGCTGGC